CCCCAAAACCCCAAAACCCCAAAACCCCAAAACCCCAAAACCCCAATTTTTAATAAATATGTTGAACCCAAAAAAATATTAATTATGGAGAAATCGCTTCCAACCCCCACAAATCCATGAAAAACATTGATATCACTTTCCTCAGACAAGAAAGCTAAGACAGAGCAGAGGAAAGATATTGATGAACTCTCTGAGAAGATGGATAAGCTTCATCTGGACAGAAAAATCGAAAATCATAAAGCAGGTATGTGGTTTTTATCTCCCAATAATTCGCCTAAGGCCTTAAATTTTTTCATTTTATCCAAAAGCTAACAAGCCTGAGATAATTTTAAGAGATATTGCAATGGAACTATCTCATACCAAACTAATGCTAAGTATAGGAACTAAGGAAGGTGTCCCTGGAGAGGAACAGAAGGATATTTCTCAAGAAGCACAAGACCTCGGTTTCGAAAAGAGCCTTATTGGTAACCCTAAGCCCTTCACTGACCATTCTTGAAGGTGCTCTAAGCTTACTGACTGGGTTGAAATTACCATATATGAGCTATACCTTCTCTTGGAAGAACAAAGACATCAGAAGGACATCGCTGAGGAGGAAATATGCCCAATTTGTCGGTGAGAATTTTACGATAACATCCATACTTTAAAGTAAAGAAGAAATCCTTGAACAACAAACACAAATGGTAGCTGATCCCAGCCAGATCTCAGTCATCAAGTTTGACAATTGCTCAGACCACTACTTCCATAAAGGCTGTGCTGAGATGATGCTAGGTGATAAAAGTTACCTTAAATGACCGATTTGAGCCAATATTTATGGATTCATGACTGGAGAAATGCCCCCTGGACGGATGACCTGGCAATATTTCGAAGAGGGTCAATATCCTTGCTCCGGCTATGAATGCAGCGGAACTTGGCATATTCATTACTCCTTCTATGATGGTTATAAAGAGGATGGAACTAGATACAGAGGTACCAGGAGAGACGCTTTCTTGCCAGATACTACTGAAGGTAAAGAAGTGCTCTTCTTACTAATAAAAGCATTCAAGCGGAGACTGACTTTTGTAGTGGGTGACTCTATCACCACAGGAAGAAAGAATGTAGTTGTATGGAACTCAGTACATCATAAGACCAGCCTTGAAGGTGGTTCAGCGAACTTTGGCTATCCTGATGCTACATACTTCAGCAGAGTCAAGCTTGAGCTTGCAGATAAAGGTGTAGTCATGGAAGAAGGAGATAATCCTAAGAAGATTAAGAAGAAAGGATACGTCCAGATAAATCTAAAATAAACAATTCAATATTGAATTTTGTTAAAGGGGTTTTGGGGTTTTGGGGTTTTGGGGTTTTGGGG